TCTATCTATCTATCTATCTATCTATCTATCTATCTATCTATCTATCTCATCTATTTCTCTTATCTCTCCTTTCATCATCTCTCCTTTTGTCTGTCTGTCTGTCTGTCTATCTATCATCTATCTATCTATCTATCTATCTATCTAATCATCTATTTCTCTTATCTCTCCTTTCATCCATCTATCTCTATCTTTCCTTTCACCTCTCTCTCTCTCCTTAGCTCTCCTTTCTTCTATCTATCTGTATATATCTCTATAAAAGTAGTATTTGACTTATGGCTATTGAGCCCAAAACTTACGTTGCTAAGTGGGAAGTTACAACAGCACTGAAAAATGTGACATGACCATTTTTCATATTTACGACCGTTGCAGCATCCCAGTGGTCACATGATCAAAATTCAGACACTTGGCAACTAGTTCCCATCTATGACGGTCGCAGTATCCCGGGGTCAGGTGAGCCCCTTTTGTAACCTTCTCACGAGCGAAGCCAATGGAGAAGCCAGATTCGCTTAACAACCGGTTTACTAACTTAAGCAATTACAGTGATTCACTTAACGACTGTGGCAAGAAAGGTCGTAAAATGGGGCAAAACTCACTTAGCATATGTCTCACCTACCAACAGAAATTTTGGGCTCAATTGTGGTCGTATCTCAAGGACTACCTGTATTTTATTGTAACTATGATTTCTACATGCTAGTCTATGGCCAAATAAAGATTTGATGATGATTTGAGAACTTTTTAATCCCGGTTTTACAAGAAAAAAAAAAAGGGCTGAAATTGCTATCAAAAGCAAATCAAAATGCAGGATAAAACACATGGAAGTGTGACCTGAAAGGTATGTGCTAAAACCTCACACAAATAACATCTATTAAAGTCCGTTTGGGCCAGCCACCTTCAAGTTATCAAAATGTGGAAACATTGAACTAGCCTGAGCTACCAATTCTGTGTTGTTTTAAACCCACTGCGGTTCTGTATGCAACAAAATTTCACTTTAATGTATATTCAAAGTGACAATAAAGGTTCTGTTCTGTTCTGTTCTATCCTATTCTTCATTCCATTCCATTCTATTTTATTCTATACTTCTCTTCTGTACTCTTCTCTTCTCTCCTATTCTATTCCTATTCTATTCTATTCTTCAATTCTATTCCTATTTTATTCTTCTCTTCTCTTCTCTTTTCTATTCCTATTCTATATTCTATTCTCTTCTCTTCTATACTCCTCTTCTCTTCTCTCCTATTCTATTCTTCCCTCTTCTCTTCTCTTTTCTATTCCTATTCTATTCTTCAATTCTACTATATTCTATATTCTATTCTGTTCTATTCTATTCCATTCCATTCCATTCTATTCCATCCTATCCCTATCCTATCCTATCCTTATCCCTATTCTAATTCTAATTCATCCTATTCCCACCCTACCCCTATCCTATCCTTATTCTAATTCAAATTAATTCTATACCTATTCCCATTCCCATTCTATTCTGGTCCTGCCGTGGGATGAATCATAAATTAAATCCCCTTCCCCTTCCGTGCAACAGATTCTTCAGATAAGTTTTCACCTAGAAGGATAATATGGAAAACGACAGTACCTTCCTCTGGGTGCCTTTTTTCAAAAACACGTTAAAATCGAGGGACGACGTCCACCAATGGGTGATCATGGAGCCACTGAAGTGGACAGGGAATACGTAGCATTGCTGAAACTTCACCCCTGCAGTGGGAATCGGATTGACACAAAAGCAAAAGGATTTTCTAATGTCAACATTTCAAGGGTTGAGTGGAAGAAGACTCAAGAAAGAATCTAAGATTTCTGAAGTGGTATTATTTCATGGTCATGATGTGCACTGAAAATGGTGTTTGGTTTCGTTGTATGAGGTGCAATGATAAGAAAGTAAACTAACTAATTAAAAAGAAAAAAAAGGCCAATCAGGAAAAACCCAGGATAGAGATGAATTCTCAATTTGCAAAGTAGCAGTTGGTGGTTTGGCAAAAAGCAGCATTTAACAGAATAACAGAGTTGGAAGGGACCTTGGAGGTCTTCTAGTCCAACCCCTTGCTCAAGCAGGAGTCCCCATGCCATTTCGGACAGGTGGCTGTCCAGTCTCTTCTTAAAAACCTCCAGTTGATGGAGTGCCCACAATTTCTGGTGGCAAGCTGTTCCACTGGTCAATTGATCTCACTGTCAGGAAATTTCTCCTTAGTTCTAGGTTGCTTCTATTAGGTTTCTTCCAAGAAATGGGAAGCAAAATGTCCAGTTGCCTTTTCAAAATAAAATAAAAACCAATTTTGATTCAGCTATGACCCTGGATGACTGAGAATCTTCATAGACATGTGGCAGAAATGGTTATAAAATTGAACAGGCCTCCCTTAGCATATCAAGTAGCACTGATGATGTTACCTAGTTTTGGAAATAAAACTTCTGCGTTCCTCATTTCAACCCTGAGCTACAAATATCTTACAGGGTTTACTTAACACCGCTTCTCTTTATCAATTTCTCCCAATTGAGGCCTAGCTATATATTTAAATTCCCGCCATGAAAATATTTCTTTAGAGAGTTGCTCATATAAAAGGTCTGCTTCTGCAGTCATGGTCAATGTGGAAAAACTCCGCTCGGTCCAACATAACATTATGGGAAAAAATTGGTTGCCTTTCCACCCGGTCTTACCGTCTGCTGAGTATCTACTCGAAGCTACGCGAACCATTTCCGTAGTCACGGCCGTCTGGCCTACCCCGTTCTTCGAAGTTCTTACTGGAAAGTGATACTCGACAAAGAAGGTCCTGGGAAGAGAAGAAATTGTGGAAATAAATGCGAGGGAATTCAACAAAATTCGGTATATTTAATAAGACCGGCCAAAACTTTGCAGCTTTAATTCATTCTTTAGTTCATCACCTCGTAACAACAACCCTGTGAGGTGGACAGGGACCAGAGAGAGGGATTGTCCCAAAGTCACCCGATTGGTGTTCATGTTTAAGGCAGGACTAGAACTCACTGTTTCCTGGTAATTGGCCCAAAGTCACCCAATTGGCTTCCATGTCTAAGGTGGGACTAGAATTCAGAATCTCCTGGTTGACTGGCCCAAAAATCACCCAGCCAACTTTCTTGTCTAAGGCGGGCATAGAACTCACAGCCCGCTCTTGATTGGTCCAAAGTCACCCAGCTGGCTTTTGGGCCAAAGGTGGGACTAGAACACCCCATCTCCTGGGTTCTAGGCCAGCACCC